GTGTTTCATCCAAATAACGATATTAAAATAACTTAATTGGAACAAACTCAGTGGATTTCTCATTCGAAGTTGATTTTTTCTCTGCCCGACTCGGTATATTGGATTAATAGTCCCTCCCGTTTATCCAGACAAGGTAGCACGAAAAGTTGGGTAATGATTCCGCGAATGAATGCTGCGGAGGCCCGGTAACTCTTTCAACGAACATCCTCAAGGAGGTACCGCGAGACGGTATCAAAGGGGATAATTCGACCACGGGCCGACCAACCGGCGTCCAAAAGCTTCGAGAAGCCGAGGTCCAAGTTCAGAAGCTCGTCGAGCAAAGTCAATGTCTCGGCATTCATGAAGGGTCGGCCGAGACCGCAGGAACGCGCGGCTTCGAATACCCGCGTGCCGGATGAGACCCTGCTATCATCCTTCATTAGCCAGTCGGTCGGTCTTCGTGGCGTTCGAGAGGGTTGTCAGTCGAAGCGAGACAGACAGGACAGTCGATGCGCTAGCTTTTAATCTTGAGAATCTTTAGGACGTTTGGCGACCAAAGGGAAACTCGTCGAGGCTGACGATCGACTCTCTCAACTTCTCTGTCTGTCTGGCTACTTGCGCAAACACCGTTCGCGGCTTTCTAGACGGACTAAAAAAAAGGTTAGGAACTCTCCTCAAGTTTACGGTCGAATTAAGGATTTACGCGAGGCAATTCAGCAGCCGGAGGCAAATCTTGCGCGAACGAACGAGAATCGAGTGAAGACCGCGTTCTCTTTCCACGGGGCAATTATCGAACTCAGGGTCGGTTTTCAGTTTAGAAAATTTCGTGAACTTCGCGACACGGTTCGTTAAATGGAACGATTTCCGATTATGAAAATTCTACAGAGTTCGCCGAGCAGCGGCAGTTCGATGGCCCGACAGGCTATTTTCGAAAACGACGTTAGTTCCCCGTTGTAGGCAACTTTGCGTTGCTTGCTAACAAATTACGGGAGTTCGGTAAACTAGTAAGCGATCTTTGCCGCTTGGACCGATCGAAGAATCATGTGAGAGGGCGAAAACCACGGAAAATTTTTAGAAAACGCAGGTGCAGAGCGTTTCTGAGATGCAAACTTAGGTCTTAAATATTTTCTTATGTACATAGATGCATTCTGCAAGAATCTTAAAATAACACGAGTCTACAAGAATTTAATACTTAAGTCTCTATACAAACGACAGACCTCGATATAAAATATTATATCAATATAAAATAAAGTACTACAGTGAATATTAACTCAAAGTGAAATTGACGTTGCTCAGCAAAATCAAAACATTTATCACAAGATATTTCTAGTAATTTAAAAATCGAAACAAAATTGACCGTATCCATATATGGAAATTTGAAGAGAAGCAGTTAACGAGACTAGCGTCAGTTAGAATTAAATACAAACAGGCGCGTAGCGTTTCACGTAAATTTCATTACGCTACTTACGTGCATGCACGTCCAGAACACGTTAGACGTCAAATGCGCGTGCAAATTAGATCAATGGATCAGTTTGAGAAGCTCGTCGAAATTAATATCCGTTCTGTTAGTTACCAGCGATTCGATAGCAAGGGCTTACGATTCATGATCGTATCATGGCGTACAGTCGCGGCCGCAAGTACAGATTGAATTAACGTACTGTTTGGTAGTTGGTACACGGAGATTCCGTGACCTGCGGTTTCGCGATACGCCCCGATTTTTCGTCAATTAAAATCTGAATATCCCGCTACGTTACGCGAGTTGTATATCCACCCTACATATCAATTTTTACGGTTTTTGGATTCAATCTATGTATATCGATTTTAAAAGGCTATACGGCGCAATGTAAATAACTAATCGGGATTCGAATTTATTTTTCTTCGAATTTTAATCCTAATGCAATATGCAATTTTATGGAACAAATTTGCTAAATTAAGTTAAGTTGTTGAATGATAAAAGATAATGATAAAATTCTAAATCACTGTGTTTGCAACATATTCACTCTCTTGCAAAAGTAGAGGGATAACATTTTTTGTGTATGCTGAAGATTTTATACTGTATATTATTGTGTTGGTCTTTCGCATTATTTTGATACAAAAATTTGGTAGTTAATTGTACACATATTGTTACTGATATGATTCTGATTCATTGTTGAAGATTTGTACGTCACCGCGAATGAACGCATCGATAAGGGCACTGATCGTTCACGTAGCGTTACTAATATCGATTTCATGGCAAAAATCATTACGCAAAGACTCGTTATCGTCTTTCTCGCGTTACAATGACGCGTGTTCAGCAATACCGTAACGCTTCCACGGTATTTACATATCTTTAATTACACGTTTAAGCAGTGCACACAGGATGTGTAACATCATACTTGAAATACAGGTTTATTCGAACGCAGATCCAGCGTTACCGGAAACCCGACGTCTTCTTCGATCGCCGACGAAATAAACGTCGAGGAAAATAATCCGCGGCGATAGGGAACAGACGAAATTTTCGTTCGTCGAAAACGGGAAACGAGAAACTCGCTGAAACTCGTGTTCCCTGCACAACGCAGCCCACCCTGCCATCCCATCAGCAATTTCACACGGAACGAGAGGAAAAAGTGGCGAGCAAATTCGCATAACAAGGCGGACAACCGCGCAATTAAAATTACGTTCGCGCGACCAAAAGAAAACGCAAAACGGCAAACAAAAACGGCGCCGTGAATTTCGTGCACGGTGGCTGTCTCCCATGGGCGATGGAAAAATTTCTCGCGGAGAGACTCGTTGACCATCGTTTTCCGTCTGCGGATACACCTCTCTGCCCCGTGCACCCCGAATAGTTTTTGGTACACCCTGGCAACGTACACACGCACGCACGCACGCCTCTAAACACGCGCTTTCCACGCACAATTTATGCACGCGAGCAGAGAGAGAGAGAGAGAGGTGGATGGTTTGACCGGGATGGTTGTGTTCGGTTGCCTCTCTGCCAGCCAACCAACCAGCCAGCCAAGCAGCCGGCTGGTCGACCAACCAACCATTCCACATTCCATTCGACGGTTCTCTCTCCCCATGGCACATAATGAAGTCAGTCCCGGCGTTCTAAGCCCCGGTAATATCGTGTGGCAGCACCCTCCCCAAGATAATATTGGTGATGTATGCTAACGGGCTTTTCGGTACCGGGCTACGTCGTTTTTACGTCCCTTTCGTACCGTGTGTCCTCCTAAATGATTTACCGCGAAAAAGAGAACGCACCGAGCACGGTCACTATCAACGACCCCCTTCGGCCTCCGCAAGAAAAACCGACGACCCTTTAATCCCACCCTCGCTGCTGTGTACGCCGCGGCGAAAAGTATTTCTCGTTTTTGTTTTCGCGCCCGCACACGCGAAAACTCCGATAACTAACCGCTAGAGAGATACGGTTAACCTTTAACAGACGCGCCAGACGGTGTCCAGGGATTCTTTACGAACTGGACGGAACAGAATGTTCGAATTTTGACGATTTATAGGGTGTGACAGGGTGTGTGTTTTGTGGGACATGTGTTGGGTGAAACTTTCTGTGTGTTGGATTATATAATTATAGGTTGGCAATTATGTTTGTGTTCTGTATACATAGTTTTTAGCTGAGAATTACTACTAGTACTGCTTCTAATTTTTAACAAGTCTAAATGCTTGCTTATATGTAAAATAATGGTATAAGTATAGCAGGATTAATGAAATAGTGTAACAGAAAATTAACAGTATAACAGAATAGTTATATGTAGTGAAATATAGTACAATGGAGTAGCAATATAAGAGTGTAGTTAAAGAATGAAGTACTAAAATAATAGAACATATTTTGTTAAAATAACAAAGCTGTAAAATGATAAAATAGCAAAATGCCTTAATAATAAATAATAAAAATGGTAAAGCAGTCAAATAGTAAATCTAACACTATTATAAAATAATAGAGCAGTAAAATTATAAAATGGTATATAATTATATACCAGTACATTACTCCAAATCATAAAAAATCAGAATTTCAATAAATTTCCTCCTATAATAAAAATCTAAAAAGCTTATGGAGCTGACCCGCGAGATCGTCAATATATTTTTTTACTCCAATAAAACTCTTTCCAAACTTAACAATTTACGTCAGCTCCGTTCCATTTTATATTCTATAACTTTACTCCTTTTTGCATTCGCTGCGAACTGCAAAAAGCCATCAAGAACCTCTGAAACGTGTTCCACCTACACTAAAAACATCCATCGAAAATCGAATTTTCTCGAAGCTCAACAGAACCTAAAAAGCTCGACCAACGTTTGCCTATGATAAAACCTATACGATGAAGTTATCGGTCAAACAATGAGGAACACTTTGTACATGTAAACATTGACGCGTTTCCTCGAACACGTACTCGTTATCTACGTTACACAAAGCTCCTTTTCATCTCAGATAAAACGGTACAGAATATACGGAGTGGACTACGTTAGATGGTACAACGGAACAGTAGATCGTTTTACGAAGGAAGATAAGTTGAAAATGGTTAACAAGGTTTGAACATCTAAATGCTGGTTTCCGATACGGTATAAATGGACAATAATAAGTTTATGAAATGTTGTACAACACTTATGACATGAAAATTATTTCTACATCGCCATATAATTATAACGACACTTCTATAACTTAACCGAGTTAAGAAGTCCTTGAACGGGGGTGGAACTATACTACATAATTCGACGTAAAAACTGAGCAACTTCTATTTCAAACATTTTTCAGTACCACGACTAGAAAGTTTCAGGGGCTGTTCCACCTCTCCTAATACCTTAGCAGAAAAATACGAGGTCAATTTTTAATTCACTACTCGTATAATCTGAACTGAGAAACGACTTTCGTTTTAAAGTTGGAACTAGTGAGTGTCACTGTGTGGACTTCACCTGACGAAGGGTTAAACGTCAAGTGTTTTAAGAGCACAGGAGGTATTTCCATAAAGTGTTTGCTGAACGCAGTAGGGGTATATGGAAACCGATTGCAGTATGGAGAAAAATGGATGGCTCACCTTTGTGATGCCTGAGATGCGATCGTCCGCAACAAGGTTGCTCGAAATAAGCGTGTCCAGGATGAGAGCCGGCGGGTCTGCTCGCCTGGCTGGGTCCTAGGATGAGTCCCAAGACAGCTGCGAGAACAGCTGCTCTGACGAACAGCAACATGGCATCCGGTAATCTTGCTCGTCGCATCCTCGATCACGAAATACGAAACACTCGAACAAAATGTGGGTAACGGGACAATCGACGCTAATCAACGATCATAACGCGCGCACGTGGAGGAAAATTTGAATCGTTGAAAGGAGCAGTTGGAGCCAGCGCGTGAAACGTGGCTGCCGACCTGGCCTTGGTTAACAGCACGCCGCACTGTGTTCACGGGTTGGTTGTTGCCCTTTGGCGTTGGCAACTCGCTGACGGACGTTCACCGATGCCACGAGGCTCGTTTTCCTCGTCCGTCTTGCACCGGAACACCTTTCGTCTCTCTTTATCCCGATCTTACGCTCCGCCAGGTATACACACACCCGGACGAAACTCGACCGCGTGCTGTGCCGCTTCCTTCTATCCCTTCTCTTCGCTGGCTCCGTTCTCCGAGTCCACCTCCTTCGACGCTTGTACCTTCGAGGACAAAGGAATTCTTCCTGCGCTTCGCTATCCTTGCTCCACGAACGACGCGCCGGTACCTGACGTTCTCAACTTCGCAGGTATAGAGAGCCTTCGAGACGTAGGACCGGATACGAAGCTCGGCTATGTCGGCAAATACGATCCTACGTTTCCTTTTTTCTTGCACTTGCTTTTGCACACGAGCCACGGGCAAGTCACCGCGGGGAACAAAGAATAGCACCGTCAGGGGACGCAAATAGGAACGAGACACCGTGGATAGCTGTTCAAGGCTCTTATCTATGACCAAAACGTTTAAACATTCAGCGATTCCCGTCGACGTACAACTCTATGTCACTGACGTCCCTGGTACACTTTCGTTCGCGCCATATTACGTCACTGTCGGGGTACACAGCCGCGGTCGATCGTTGAACCGACGGACGTGTACACATGTGTACAACGCGCGCGCGATCGTGTGCGTTACGAAGGAACAACCGAGGAAATCGTGGGCAACTAAATATAAAGAACGTGTCTCGCGGCGTCACATCTGTTGCGCGGCCCACGATCCTGTCGCGTTCTTACTTCATGGAGAAAGATAAGGATTTTTTTTAATTCCGGGTCATCGGGATCGTTAAATAGACGACAGTTAAACAAAGGTCACAACATGGTCTCGTTCGGGTAATGACAGAACACGCGTCTCGCGATAAAATGGAGCGTTACGAGCAACACAGGTTGCATAAACCTCCCCCTACGGAGGCCGCGGCACGACTGTACCCTCGTAGCAAAGTTGCCGCGTTCACAGGCGCTCGGCTATGCTCGGCAAACTTCGGCTCCGTTCGGAGAACGCTGCTCGTGCTCGCCGCGACTCTATGATCCGCGCCAGTTCCTTCCAATCCGAGTCACTCGTTGTCCACCACCGATTCGAACGACCGAAGAAGCGTCACCCCTGATATTTCTCTTAACCCTCGCCCCGGGGGCGCTTTTTATGGCTCGTATGAAAAATTTTCGACTACGCGGGGCCAATATGGACACCGACAGAACGCTTCCTCCGACTTCAACTTCGCTGCGAAGACTTGAATTATGGAGTCACCCCATGGACTTTACCGTGGAATCCTGTTATTCACCCCCTATTACCGATTTTTTGTCTATGTCCGACGTTCCTTTCGTGCATGACAAATGAATTTGGACGCTTTTCTTTTTGATAATGTAAATGTGTATTCCGTGCTATCATGATTATTACGATTTGTTTTTAAAGTATTCAATAAACATTTAAACTTATAAATAATTCTGTCATAAAGTTTTTTTGCAAGAAATTTGCTACAAGAAATTGCACTTCTGTGTAAATAAATAATTGACATAAAATGTTTCTTAAAAATTGACCAATTACCTGACTAGTCCGTCAGTCAGTAATTGTTGCCAGAAAAAATAAAACTTCTTCATTTGAAAGCAAAAGTATAAGAATTAGAATATAAAATGGAACAAACTATGTTAAGTTAACACATTTTAATAAATTTCTTGTATATAATCATCAAAATTCATTCCCTAAAGTGTTGATGTACGATTAGAATGTACCTTGGAAGTTTCTAAACAGAATGAAAGATTCGTGCGGCGAGAGAAGTTGAGTAGAAATAACAGAGACTCGTTTAATTATCGGAAATATTACAATTAACTGGCTAAAATACACACTCTCTCATGCGGTAGTTTCGGGAACTTAAATAAAACGTTCGAAACTTTAAGAGTCGGCTAAGTAGGACGATCCTGTGTGCGATAAATTAACGAATCGGCCATTGTTCTTGCGAATCAAGATTCTCCACTGTAATCTTGCGGAAATTGCAGGGAACTTAATCGTTCAAACACCGCTAGTCCCAATTAAGCGGAACAAAATTTATGCGAATAAATCTATTAGACGAAGAATTATTTGAATTGCATTGATACACTATCTGGTGTTAATTGCGGGAGATGAACTCTCTATTTGCAATTAAGATTTGGTTTAAACGCATTTTAGTTAAAATGAAATATAACGATTTAATGCAATGAATCACCTTAAGTAGTTTATCAAATTTATTTCAGAAATGACATAGCAAGTGAGAAATTCGAAATTGAAATTTTAGTATAAAAGATATTTGAAAGATTATTTAAATACAAACTAAAGGATGAGATAGAAAGTTCCTTTTCTTAGACAAATAATGAAAAATTATTTTTATGTTCAAATATATTTATATTGAAAATAAAAACCAGCTGAATAAAGTAATGTATTATTTATATAATTCTGTAATGATTGGTTCTAATTTACCGTCGAACATGACTGCACCTTGTAAAATTACTCAATTTCTCAATAAAAGACGTTTCATAAATAATATATGTGGAAGTGATTTAAATGTTAAAGAAAATTAAATTGCGATTATTGCTACCTCCATCTGAAGGTTAAGGTAAAATGAAATTTCCTTGAAATCGATGCTATTGATCCATAAATTCTCCCGTTCGATAGCGTGTCTCCGGCGTGAAGGCGAATCTATATTTCCCGTGGAGAGCGTTATGGCATTATCGAGGCCGTTTCGAGTACGCAGCAGTCAGCACTCGAGTTTAACGAAATCAATGTATCGAAACACGTCGTAACGTATTCCCCGGAGGGTCGAAGACGAAATTCAAAGCCCCTCAAAAAGCGTGGCACGCCATCAACGCCACCATCATCGACGCCGCCCGTATAGCCTGGAGGAGCGCGTTCGTCCGCGGCACAAGAACCGAAGCGGATTGTATGAATAAGTCGATATGCTAATGCAAAAACCCTCCAAGTTAGCTGAGCCAAGACGCTCAGCCGACGGGCAAAGAAAGTTGCAAGGCATATCCGGTACGCTTCGCTACCTACAAAGTGTCTGTACGACCCGACGCGAAGAGAGGAGACAATTTCGTATCGTCCAACCACCACCGTACGACTATTACCACCATGATGATACAGGCCACTTCCTTTGTTGTCTCTGGCGAGAGGAAAGGGGACTGCAAGATACAAGGGAAGTCGTAAGAATTTTAGAACAAAAGAAGAGAGCCAAGTGTCCTTCCTAGAAACGTGCTTTTCCTTAACTCTCTGGGTCTTTTCGGTACGAATGAGGAGTCAGCCGGTTTTCACGACCAACAAATCCACCACTCGCTATCCCCATTTCATTGAAATAGTTTAGAATTGCATGAGCCTCTCCTTTCCTCCGACTATGTACCTCCTTTGTCGTTTCTTATGGGGACGACCAGCCGTCTCCATGAGTTCTAAACGCGAACGAGTTCAACCCCCTGTGAAGCCACCGGCAAATCGCTGGAAAAACCGTGAAACGTTTGTAAATGCGATCCGTGATACAGCACGGGATGCGAGTGAACCGTGAAAATCGCGTCTTCGCGTGCACTATCTGCAGAGTAATAAATTTTCGTAAAAAAAACGACGGAGACGTTGTTACGCGAGTGTGTAAGCGATATCGGATCCTTCTTTCCACTCCTGAAATTTCATATTCTTAAATATGGAGACGTGGAAGCTCGGAAATACCAAATACTCCATTTTTCACATTTTTAACTCTACAATTTCTACCTATTCTAGCTTTCAACTCTTCAAAATTAAGCATTTTTTTTAAATTATCAAATTCTCCAACTTTCAAATTTCTAAATTTTCTATCTTTAAAATTTTTAACTTTAAAATTATCAAATTTATAAATTTCATAGCTGAAAATGCAATAAGGAAGTTCAAAAAGAAATTTTGTAAAGAATGCAAATGTCACGATTTATCAACTTAAAAATATTTAATATCCCTCGTGAAGTTTTTTTAGTACAGTCCAGTCGTTAAAGTAAAAACGGTGTTAAGTTGGATGGTATGCAACATTTATTGCAGGACAGTGTTTCGTGACGTGGTTGATGGAGGCTTCGCGAATTTCCTCGCGTCTGGTTGAATTTCACAAAGTTCCCATGAAAGTTCTGACTTATGCAACGACGGAGGTCTGAATGGACCACCGTGCAAGGCGCAAACACACACAATCGGGAAGGGGTGAATAAGTTCTGGCGAAGTGAAATCGCTGTTAAATGTACCGTATTTGATTTATAGAAGTGTGAAATGCAGCTAATAGAATTCTGTCATTCGTATCAGGAATCATCATAAAGGAATTGTTAACATGAATTCGTACATAAAAACGTAAACCTGTTTTGTAATAGATATTAGTTGGTAAAGTTTAATTTTCATTTGATTTTGAAGTATAATATGATATCTAATATCATCAAAAGGTACTGGAAGACTAATTAATTTCACAGCATTTATATAATAATTTTAAGGATAAACCCATGAAAGAATAAATTTATTTTGACTATTTGTTGAATACCATAATTTTTTCTGAAAAATTCATTTTTAAATTTTTTAGTGGGCTGCTGAGATTTCCATTGTATTAATTTTATTCCTCTATTTGGTTATAATTATCCAAAATAATTTTTCAGACATTTCTACCAGCATGCTTAATTGTGAAATTGTGTGAACTACATCTATAAATCCACAATGTAATTCAAATTTATTCCAAAACGTTGTTAATGTGAATTGATTGAATATCAAAGAAATCTTAACAAGACGTTTTATTTGCACTTCGATCGTGGAAAGATTGAATTTTTCAGAAGAACATGAGTGAAAAAGGTTAATCGTGTCTTCGTATAATCGCGCTCAAATAAAACCGTACCGCGTCGTTCGACTCCGTATTTTCAGTGGTAATATTTTCGCGTTATTTCCATATCCTCATCCCATTCTACTTTTACGATTCTTTGAGAGCCACGAGACCATAAAATCCGTTGGTATTAAACGATTTCTTGCGCACGACGACAAGATCAATCGGAGACGATCAACGGTGCATCCCACACCGCTTTTTCGGACGCCGAACTGTCATTGGCGTATCTGGAATTTTTATGCGTTTTATGGACATACTTTAGTTAGTTTAGTACTCTAGTATAATCACTTTAGTGTTAGATCTCGTTGAATTAAATTGCTACGTGTTAGATTGTAAGGGGTTAGATTGCTACGCGTTGTATGACAGCACGTTGGATATCGTCACGCGCCATATCGTTGCGCGTTGAATTACTAAGCGTTAGATACCGTTATGCGCCGAATCACAGCGCGTCAGATACCGTCACGTGCCGTATCACCGCGCGTTAGATCACTGCACGTTAAGTTACCACGTGTTAGATCTTTACGCACACGTTAGATAGTCACTCGCCATATTACTACGCGCCATATTACCACGCGTTAATTACCGCTACGCGCCGTATCACCACGCGCTGTATCGGCACGCGTTAAATATCGTCACATGCCATATCTCTACGCGTTGAATCACTTTGCATTAAATATCGTTACGCTCTGTATTACTATTCATTAGACATTGTCCCGAGCCGTATTACCACGTATCAAATCTCTACATGTAATATCATACGTCGTATCCTCACATGTTACGCCATACATAAACATGAATAAAATTACACTCCACATACAAGTTCTAGCCTTCCCTAATACTCTTACAATGGATCCTCGATTATTTTCACTTCACTACAAACGTGTGTATCGCGGTAAGAAAAAAAATCGTGAGAGGGTTTTTGGAGGTATTAAATATTCAGGAACGTCAAATCGAGTCCACGTTATCCTCTTATTCCGCGGAGCTACGCGCCTTTGAAGCTTCCACGCTTCGTCGCTCTCGTCGCGCAAATCGACGGATCCCTTTTTAGTACGAATCAAAAATATTTGTCGGCGTGAAG